ACATAAAAGCAAAAATCCTCAATAAAATACTAGCAAATAGAATGTGGAAAATCATCAAGAAGATTATACACCATGACTAAGTAGGATACATCCCATGGATGCAGGGATGGTTCAACATATGCAAATCAACAAACGTAACACACCATATCAATAGAGCTGAACATAAAAACCACACCATCACCTCAGTAGATGCAGAAAAAGCTTTTGACAAAGTCCAACACTCATTCATGATAAAAACCCTACAGAAAATGAGAATAGATGGTCTTCACCTCAATCTAATAAAAGCCATCTATGACAAAAGAATGGCCAACATCATACTAAATGGACAAAAACTGAAAACTTTCACTCTAAAATCGGGAACAAGACAGGATGTACACTGCCACCACTCCTATTCAGTATAGGGCTGGAAACATTAGCCAGAGCAATTAGACAAGAGAGAGAAATAAAGGAGTAAGGATAGTAAAGGAAGAAGTGAAATTATCATTATTTGCAAATGACATGATACTCTATATAGAAGATTCCTAAAACTCCACTAAAATCTTCCAGAAGTAAATAAGCAAACTCAGTAGTGTACCTGGACACAAAGTCAACACTCAAAAATCAATAGCATTCCTGTACACAAACAATAAACTCACAGAGAGAAATTAGGGAAACCACACCCTTCACAATAGTATCCAAAAAAATGAAATGCTTAAGAATCAATCTAAAAAAGGAAGTAAAAGATATATACATTGAAAATTACAATACTCTGATAAGAGAAACCTAAAAGAATTTCAGAAAATGGAAAGATATTTCTTGCTCATGAAGAGGACAACCAATATTGTGATAATGGACATACTCCCAAAATTGTTACATACATTCAATGCAATCCTATTCAAAATACCACTAGAATACCAAACAGATCTAGAGACAACATTCCTAAAATTCATTTGGAAGCAGAAGAGACTAAGGCAACCCTGGCCTACAAAAGCAAGGCAGGAGGCATCACAATCCCTGACTTGAAATTATACTACAAAGCTACTGTGATAAAATCAGCATGGTCCTGGCAAAAAACAGACCTGAGGATCAATGGAACAGATTAGAAGATGCAGACACAATTACAAACACACTCTTCTACCTTATCTTTGACAAAGGGGCCAAACATGTTCACTCAAAGAAAGATATCTCTTTAATAAATGGTGCTGGAAAAATTGGCTTTCCACATGCCAAAAACTAAAACTGGACTCATGTCTATCACCATGCACTGAACTAAAGTCAAAATGGATCAAAGATCTAAGTATTAAAACAGAAACACTCAATCTACTGGAAGAGAAATTAGGTAGAAATTTTTCTTTTTTTTTTTTTTTTCCAGTACCAGGAATCAAACTCACAATCTTGCATTTGCCAGGCAGGCACTGTACCACTGAGCTAAATCCCCAGCCCTGGTAGAAGTTTTGAAGACATAGGATTAGGTAGAGGGTTCATGAACAAAAAAGAAACTGCACAAGAAATACCTCAAAGAATCAACAACTGGGATCTCATCTTATTGAAAACTTTTCGCACATCAAAAAAATCACCTACAGACTGAAAAGAAACCCCACAAGTTGTCAAACTGTCCCTCAGACAGAGGATTTCTATCTAGAACATACAAAGAATTTATAATATCAGGACCCCCAAATCAAAGACCCAATCCAAAAATGGGCATCTAAGATGAATATACACTTGTCAGATGAAGAAATATAATATGCAAATAAATATATGAAAAAATGTTCAACATCATTGGTTATTTGACAAATGCAAATTAAAACAACACTGAGATTTCACCTCACCCCAGAAAGAGTGGCTATCATCAAGAAATAAACCAATAACAAATGCTGTCAGGGCTGTGAGGACAAAAAGACACTTCTGCACTGTTGGTGGGAGTATTAAGTGGTATAACCACTGTGGAAATCAGTGTGGATATTTCTCAAAAACCTAGGATAAGAAGTTCCCTTCAAGCCAGCTATTCCCCTTTTTGGCATTTTTCCAGAAGAAATGAAACCACCATATCAAATTGGTATATGTGCATCCATGTTTATAGCAGCACAATTTGTCATACTTAAATCTTTGAAACAACTCAAATGTCCATCAGCCGAGGAATGCATAAAAAAAAAATACCATGATCCATGGTATTTTATACAATGGAGTAGTATTCAGTTATAAAAAGAAACTTGAGGCTTTTATAGGGAAATGGATACAATTAGAGTATACATACTCATAAGTGAAATAAATCCGACCCACATGTGTAAACATCATATTGTCTCCCTATGTAAGAACATGAAAGAGTAAATAAAACCCAAAAGGCACAATAGATGTAATGAAAGGAAAAGAAATTGCTCAAAGGAAGAAATAACTGGGATGAAGGCAAAGAGTAAAGCAGGAAGGAATAAAAAGCCATATGTGTATAAACACAAGATGGCTAAGGTAACTGTACTACTAATTTCTATTAGTCTATGGAATGAAACAGTTAGTGCTTATATTGTTTGATCAGTTTTACATGCCTGTATCAGGTAATTTGAGCAACAACTACTTGGGATAGAACAATATGCAATATAATAACCAATGTTAATTTCCTATATTTTGTTTTAAAATCTGTATCATTTTTATTGTTTTTTCTCTTTAAAACTAAAAAACGAATTTTTCAAAATCTTACAAAAATATTAGTTTTTATAAATTTATAAAGACTTTTAATATATATATATGGCGTGTATATGATGTTTTATGCATGTATTATGTCACAAGAGTAGTATGTCTGTGTGTTTATATGTATGCACATAAATATGTGCCACTATATCTCAAGACACCTGTACACACACAGACACACACTTAGGCACGGTGAAGTCATCACTACAATCAAGCAAATTACTCTACATATTTTAGTATTTCTAAACTCCTCACTCCTGTTCTACCTTACAGACTAAGCCAAGGAAGCAGGAAGATTATAGGCACAGAAACAAAACAGAAGGAGAAAGAAAGAAAGAAAAAGAAAGAAAGAAAAAGGAAGGAAGGGAGGAAGGAAGAGGGGTATTAATTGCAGGAAAAACTAAGGAGAAAACAGAAAAAATGACATATTCTTAGCAGAACTATACGATATTACAAAGAAACAGTGTGGCTGATCGGATCATGAACATTCTAAACAATAACTATTACTGAGCTATTAATACTCAGACATGGTTTATTCCAGTCCCAAAGGAAGTAACGTGGCCAAGGTCACCCTCGGTGGCAGTTGATGGTGCTTCCAGGACCCTGGGACTCGCCCGTGCTCCAGAGCAAGTAGCTCCCAGCACAGCTGTGATTGCTCCACCCAACCCCGAACGCACCTCCTGGCCAGCACTGTGTCAGGAGATATCACACCGAGAAATGCAGCTGTCCCTGAACCGGGCTGTGGGGAGTGGTGTGGCCCTCCCATCCCTCTTTAGGTTCATTCCTACGAGAAGCATGAAGCAAATGCCCACTGTCTTTAGGTCCTCAGGACACAAAATCCTGTCCCTTGGCCAGGAGCTTTTCAGAGGCTACAGCTTTGATTTATTTGAAATGAGGATGATATAATCTTCAAGAAAAGCAGGTGAACATGACAATAGGCCCAGGGAAGGAAATGAACATTAATTAAGGGCAGTTTCTATGTCAGCCCCTCAGCCTGGCAAGGCATCACCTACCAAGCGGACACTCAGGAAGTGGCACCAATTTTGGGAAAACACAGTTCATCAAAATTCAACAGTGTAAAGGCTCAGTGACATATATTTACACACAGGCCAGATTTGTTAGACGTAGATTTCATAAAATCGGGAGGAGAAACGACTACATCTATTGCACAGGTGTTTCTGATGTAGATGAATTCTTACTACATTAAAAACAGTTCACACAGTTAACACTTTATTTTGGAAAAGCAGTTAATTTTTACTCTTACCAATCACTGAAGAAATAGAGATAACTACTTTGAGCTGCAATAGGAAATTTTGTAATCATTCATGCTAATAAAAATTGAATTGTATGTGTAGGTCAGATAGCTATCAATTAATTTTTCTTTCTTTCTCAGTTAAATCCTTGTAAAGTACTGACAAGACACCCGTGTATTTCACTACAACTACTGAAAAGAACACGGATTTTTAAAAAGATCCTCAGACGCACTTTGCAGGCCTTTTCAGAATACATAGAAATAATTAAAACAAAATTGTATCTTTTATTTATGCATATTACTTGGATGTTTTCTAATAATTACCGGCTCTAACTCCAGCGATGTTGTAACTCTTAGAGTCAAAAGTGACGTCGTTTTCCGACAATACACCAGCGCGCTCTAGGCACACCGCGCTCAGGGCACCTGCGCGGGGCCTGGCCTGCATGTCTCCCCTTAGAGCGGTGCTTACAGCGGGTTAGACGCTGCGGGAAGCCTTTGACCCGTATCACCAGGTGTTAATTCTGCGTTCGCACTGTGGCAGTAGTTGGAGAGATAGAAACACCTCCACGCCTTATCAAGCAAAATGCGGTCTCTCAAGGGTTTCATATCCACTTACTGTAGTTCTTAGTGCAGTTTTATATTAACTCCAAGATAAGGAGCAACTGATAGGAGAGTGTTATAAAGTATCACTGGACAGATTTCTACAACTGTGGGTCGTTCATCTTGTCAACTTCAAACAAACATTCTCTCCATTCTAGACGTGATGCTATCACTTAAATTATTGTTCTTTCCAAGAAATGCCAGCACTTTGCAAGTGAGTAGGAAGAAGAATCACAGCGACAGTTTGGAAAAATATTAACGTTAAATTGATGTAAATAACAAAGTACAGCGGAATCCATGATAAATTAGCTTCCTTCTTAGGCATGAAGAGAAACACATAAAGGGATATTCATCACTAATATTGACAAATGGAAATATATCCAGAGGAGAAGCAAAGGCAGCGCAAGTGCCGTCATTCGTGTCTATCTTATAAACAGACTTGATTTCCTGGGGCTCTTACCGCACTGAGCAAAGCTCCGCGACTTACCTCACGTGATTGATGAGCAGGGTCGTGCTGGGGATGAAGAAGTCGTCCACGCGGTCGAAGTGGTGGCCCACGGGCTGCGTGTGCACCGTGTGGTGGGGCCCGTTCCCGCTGGCCTGGGTCACCACCTAGGAGAACGCACCGTGGTCACATGGGCCCGCTTCCACTTTACTTAGAGAAAAAAGTTAACTTTTCAGGCATTTATTTGCATAGACTCTTATTGCCCTCTTCAAAATTGCTGTATCATCAATCAAACAAAAATTTGTCTGCTTTGTCTATTTTCACTACAGAAAACCGTGTCCTATAAAAATCTTCTGAATTGTGGGAACACTGATTTTGCTGCAATGAGAAAATAAGAGCAAGTACACAGGTGATGTGAGGCGGAATTAGGACAGAACTCCTCCTTAGAACAAAGCCTGAAATATAAATATGAAAACTCCAAAGTAAGTCACGTGAAACCTTTCAAAAATCATAGAGTATATAGACATTTTTAAATAAATTGAAAGTAATCAATTGAAGGAAATTTTAATCAAAGAAACAAGAAAGGTAAAGATATTTGTCTTTGGCAAAATAACGATCTTTTAGTCAACCACTGATTGCAAATGAAAAGCTGGTCCTGTAAAAAAAAATCTGCCTCCCGACTGTAGCCAGTTGTTCTTGCATCTGTAGCTTGTGGTGTTTGCATGAGGGAGGAATTGGCCTCCGTGCCTCACTCACTTTCTACTGGGCGTTCCTGGGGCTGGAGTGTCGCTCAGAGGCAAAGCACTTTCCTAACACGGGCAAGGCTCTGGGTTCCATGCCCAGCTCCAAAATAAATACATAAATACAAACAAAGAGCCTTACCCCCGCCTACATTTCACTTTCAATTCCTGCCTACAAATTAACTTCCTACTTGCCAACTCTCGTCCTACTCTTTAAATTACATAATGCTTCTCTCTCAAAATTCTAGCTCCTCGCTTGTTGTTTTATGATGGAAATGAGTAGTATGTAATTCTGGATCTGGGTCTCTGATGGCTCTGGATCCTTCCCACTGCTGGATATAAGCAGGCCATGGTAGACTGGCCTCTGCGGGATGAGAGGACCAGCTGCAAGGACACACCAGATGGAACCACCTACTCTGGACCTGCGTCTCCAAGATCCATTTCCTCAAAGGTAGCAAAGTGAAAGGGCTTTACTCCTCATGGTCCCCTGGGGATATTGTCTTCTCTAAAATTTGTGCATTTCTAAAGACATTATCCACCAATTATAAAACTGTAGAATACATACACACTTTCATTTTTTATAGTAAAATTCCTAAGTTTTCAAAAGATATAGATGTCATTTAGAAAGGAAAAAGATAGCTATGAGAAATCTTTGAGAATTTACATAGGAATACTAACTGGAAAACTGTTGCTATACATACCTGAAATTGTGACTGTATGTGAACTTTTTTACTAATAGCAAATATCACAGAAAATTTATATTTTGTATTCAAAATTGTTAAAGATATAAAGCTTAAATTCCAAGCAAAATAAAGACACACAATACAAATAGGGCTTTCCTGTCCTTGAGACAATTTTTCTTAGTTTGGTGGGTACCATTATAAACTATGCCTTGTGAGGACCAGAAAAATACATATTTTTAGCTGTCATAGCCTATTACCAATTTATCTTCCAATTATATGGCAAAAGAGCTCTCAACCAAAAGGAAGTCTTGTGAACTGAATTCCTTGAGAGTATTTTTCCTTGTTCAGATATGTATTAAATTCCATTTTCTTTGTGGAATTTTCCTAATAATCCTGGTGAGAGACAATTACCCATGAATATCTTGACATTTCTGCAGAGCCCGGGGGTTCTGAGCAAAGGGCACCGGACACCCTGCTTAAAGATGGCGGCCTAACCCAGGCGCTGTGAGGATGAGCCAGCAAGGTGCTCCTGAGAGAGTACTTATCCGCACTGAGCCAGCTACTCATGCCTGGCACGGACTGCCCCTGCCCTCCCAGGAGATCCCACCCATTCCAGAGCAAGACCTTCCCCTGCCCAGTTGGGACTGAGGCCCCTTCGCCTGTAGCCTAAGAAACACACAGCCCCATGCTACGCGCTCCGTTCCGCACTGCTGTCTTGCTGCAGGTCTGGCTGCCGGTGGAAGAGCTGGGGCCAAGTGCTGGCCCCTCCAGGAGTCAGAAGGAGCCGTGCTGGGACCTGGAGACCCCTCTGCAGCCTTCTCTCTGTCTGCCACACCGATTTAGATAACTCTTCTGCTCTTTTGATAATGTCAGTTTCTGCATTTTATTTAATATTTTCAGGTATAATAGTTACCTTTCATTCAGTAAATATTTGTAAAACTTCCCTACATTCTATTTTTACAACTTCTTTAGGCATTTAGAAAAAGATAAAACACCCATTTTTACATGCCTACATAATATGTGTAATGTAGACTTCCATAAAGCCTTTTCCTGTACAGTATTAAAGGAGATTATCTGAACAGTTTTGTGAAAATATTGCAACACATAGAAAATTGTTAATCTACCCAAGTACCAGAGACCAGAGAAAAGACGAGGGATTGATTCTGAAGAACACAGTGCACGTGTTTGCACTCTTAATTTTTTTGGAAAGAAGGGAAACATTTTTCAAAGTGTTTTAAGATTTATAAGGCTTTTCTTAAGGTAAAGGAAATAGTATTAAAATAATGTATATCAATAATTACTTTCAAGAATGTCTCTATTGATGTGCTTTATCTTGTCGAGATCATACTCAAGTATAAATGTGGGATCAGGAGGCCACATCACCCTGTTGCGATGAACCATTCTAACAGGGGCTCACCAGGAGGAGCTGCTTTTCCCCTGTAGACACAGCTCTGTCAGCCACCCCGTGTGGATCCAGGCAGCCAGTGTGACCTGCTTTGGTCGGGAGGATGTGCCAGAAGTGACCGCACGTGCTCCAGGCTTCCACGGTTCTAACCTGAGACGCCGTGCTGTGAAGATGCCAGCCGAAGGCAGGCAGCCCCAGGGCACTCGGGACCCTGCTGAGCACCGCCCTCCTGGGGCAGCACTGGGCGACCGGACGGAGACACGTCCCGCCCCTTGACACTGCCCCGGGGGCAATGCCACAGACCCGTGAGTGATGAGTTACTCTTAAATGTGATCTGAGACATCAGTTTTGGTGTGGTTCTATTTGTAAAATAGAAATCTGAAATATATTTCAGATGTTTCAAAACTCACTTATTTCTATTGAATATAAAATGAGGGGCTGGGGATTTAGCTCAGCGGCACAGCACCTGCCTGGCAAGCACAAGGTCATGCGTTTGATTCCCAGTTCCCGAAAAACAAAAAACAAAAAACAAACAAAAAATAAAATGAGTCATGATTATGACACCTAATTAAAATATTTCAATAGACCTGTCATTTACTCATTAAATATTATGACACTGAAAATACCTCAGAAACAAAAACATTGTTTGGGACAACAGAATAGAAATAAAATGTTGCACTCAACAGCCTTTGTTTAAAATTTTTTTAAAAAAAGGAAGAGAAGGGAACACTTCCCAACTCTTTTTAGGAAACAAAAACGTTGCAAGGGAACTGCAGACCAATATCCTTTATGAAAAAGATGCAAAAACCCTCAGTAAAATGCTGGAAAATTGAGAGACGGCCTGAGTGAGAGCCTTGAGGGAAGCAGCACAGCCACAGGTGTAGGGCAACCATGGGCAGCTTGCGAAGTCACACGAACCGTGTTTCTAGGGTGGACCATTTCTTGCGGTTCCCTTTCTATGTCTCCTTGTAGCTCCAAAAACCTAAAGACTGACAAAAACCTAAAGACTGACAATGCACCATTAAAATGCATATATTTTTTTCTGCCTGTGAAGTCCTCATGTAAACAACTTCAAAGCAGAAGAGGATCTCAAGGTAACACCGAGGATTTCCACACCAAAGCAGAGCCTGTGTTCCTGTCTGACACTGTCTGCGAAGCTGCGATCTGCTGCGCGGCTCTTGCTGCCTGATTCTTGGTCTGCTTGCACTGCGCTGTGGGGAGGTCCGGCTGTGGTGGGCACACACCTCCCAAAGCCTAAGAACTGGAGACTTTCTGCACAGGCAGCAGTTGGGAGGTGGGGTCAAGGAGAGGTGAATCGAGTCTTTAAAAATGAGGAATTTTCAAAAAGCACCTGCTGCTGAGCTTCCTCGTGCGGGGAGGGAAACCACCACCCATGCCTAGTCCCGAGGCAGACCCAACATTTGCTGTGCGCTCCGGGAACTGGCTGTGGCAAACCCACGTGCGCGTGTTTCCTGGCTCTGTCCTACGCAGTGATAAGCTCGGGTGCCCCTGCGTGCTCTGTACCGGGAGTGGACGGGCTGCCCTCCTGATTTGGCCTAGCTGTGAATGAATTCACTTTTCCAGCTTTTAGGGGCTTTCCAGTACTCCTCAGTGCGCCTGGGTGACAGGAAGCAGATGGTCGGGCTCAGAGTCAGGCCTTTGCCTGGGGTCCCCAGGAGGAGCAGGGACTTTAAGGGCCCGGCAGCACTCTCGCAGCGAGTGGGCCTGTGGGTGAGCAGCGTCGAGGGGTCGCTCTGTAACTCGGGCAGGCTTGAGCTGCCGCCTCGCACCTGCTATGTGCAAGCAGGACCACGCCCAAGCTGTCCACGTGCTATGATCATTCCACTATAATGTTGCTTTTGCACAGAAGTACAGCTTTTAGTGAATATGATTATGACCCTTTCCCACCCAAAATTCCTATCTGAGTATCAACCTTTTCCTTTTTCCCGTGCAGTGGTCAATAAACCACAATTCTCAGGAGGACAACCCTAACTGCTGCGTGGTTACGGATGCCCAGGGAGACCTCTGCAGGGACAGCCCCCCAAGGCCCCTGACAGCCCTACCTGCAAGGTCGGGGATGTCTTCTCCATGCTGCCCCAGCTCAGCACCCAGACCTGGTCGTGTGATTTGTCGTAGTGCAACTTGACGGGGACGGGGTCTGTGCTCACCGCCTGTGAGAAGGGAAGAGAAGAGAAGACAAAGTCTTCAGACCCAAATAGGTCCCAGATTAGGGAACAGTTCAGGAATTTAGATGTCAGATTGACATGTGTTTTGCCAAATGTTTAGTTTTCTAAGTCCGTATTTGACTAATTTGGAAACGTTATCCTTGAGGCAAGCCCGCTTTCTTCACTGTTCGTATAACTGTGTGCAGCCTTAGGTTGACTATTACCTGTGTAACCGTGAGTCATGAGAAGCCCTTAGAAACCCAGGATGAGATGGGCTCATGTGCTCACCCTGACCAGAGCTGGCGCCGGTGAGAGCTGTCTTTACTGCCAGAGTCACACTGCATGTGAAAATGCCACAATCTGTAAACGGGGCTACCGCTAGTAACCACTTACCTAATATAATTTCTGCAGTAAGAAATCCAAAGCCACAGAAGGAAAAAGCAGCACTTAAATTTTTTTTTTATTGATCCAGTCACTAGGTGATGGACATACAGGTTGTTTCCAAGAATTAGCTACTATGAATTACATTGCTATAAACACAGGTACTCATGTATCACCATAATATTATGTCTTGACCATTTTGGGAAGGTAGAAGGGGAATAACTAGCTCAAAGGAATTTCTAGTGTTAGGTTTTTTGAGGAAAATCCATACTGATTTCAAATGTGGTATTTATACACAGTGGAGTACTACTATGCCATAAAAAAGATAAATATGAGTCATTTGTAAGAAAATGGATGTACCTGGAGACCATAATGTTAAGTGAAGTAAATCAGACATCTAAGTTGAAATATCATATAGTTTCTCATATGAAAAACTAAGATATATGTATATATATACATACATACATACACATACATATATAGTGAAATAAAAGACACACTGCAGTAGGAAAAGAAAAAGGCTGCCATCCAGAGTAGATGGTGTGTCTAAATGTACCCCTTGACTTAGTATAACTGTCTTACATGTTTTATGTGTTCTTTGGCCTGTTAGTCTGGATTTTAATCTGTATACATGATAATTACCTTTAAAAGTTTTTATAATATAAATTAGTCTGATGCTGAAAAAGTAAAGGGGTAGAGGGAAAGGGAAAATGATTAAAGTGTGCTGTGCATGTGTACCAATTCTCTACTGCGAACACAATCATCACGTACTGCAAACATGCTCTAATAAAAGTCAAATACATACTCTGTGTACCACACTCTTTTCCTGCAAATATTTATAGTATTAAGGAGTTACTTAAACACAACTTCCCCAAAGAAATTGTTGCCCACAAATTATTTTAATCACCTTAAAGTCAAGCTATTGATAAGGTAAGTTAATACTTTGTAAAAGTTCCTGTAATGTTTACTTGTATACATTCTAAATTTGTAACATAAAATACATGCACTCAATAAAGTAAGCTTTATGCAATAGTGAAAGCATTTCAAATGCTCTATAATTACAGAATCTTCCAAGTCTTAATTTGTAATGAAATACTATTCTCATTGGATTAGTAACTGGTAAATTACCTTTGGGGTTGGATGCATGGAAATTCCTATTTTCCTTTAATTGTTGGAAATTTAGACTCACTATTGTATGTATTGTAAAACTTTCCTACGCATTCTACCTATTCAGATGCTCAGTATTCACGGGTTACTGAGGTAATGGATGTTTCTGAAAGGAGTTATTTATGCATTCTAGTATCTGTGCTTCCACCGTTTCCCTGCTGCCTCCCGGAGCCATGAGGCAGTTGCACATGGGCATGGCATTTCCTGCGTTAATGCGTACGGGTTGAAGGAAATGTTTCATCCTCCCCTCTGATGGGTACAAGGTTTTCCAGTCCTTCCGAGGCAGGAGGAGTGATGTGACTTACTCTAGACTCTGCACTGTAAGATTGACCGGCCACAGGTTTTCTGAGGATGAAAATGCCTCTGGCTAGACAGCAACACGAGGAGCCTTCCTGGACACACTTTCCTTTCGCCCTGCTGTGAAACCTGAATACATACGAGGACATCAGCACCCCCTTTCAAAGCCATGTTGAGGCTGTGACACAGTTAGTTAAAGAGGCCAACAGCTGAAGGACGCAGAAGGAGGGAAATGGAGACTAATTCTTGATAACTATTGAATTGCCGCACAAAACTAGACCTGGTGTTACTAAGGTGATTCAGCAGGTTTCTTACCCAAGAAAGCGTCTGGTATTTTGTTAATTATGTCTGAATGAATGCAGATGCTCCATTTAAATTTCTTCCTGGACTGAGCAACAATTTCAGTGCATGCATACCTATCATCAGTTACTACACTAACGACAAAGCAATGAGAGTCCTTTGATTTTTCATGTTTTGTCCCTTACACACAGGAGTTCAGATCTACGCAGTTTTGCCTTCAGAAGCAGTGCTGAGCTAGCCGAGGATTCTAGAGGCAGGAGGCGTCCTGCAGCTGTTCTGACACTGACCGCAAATCTTAACTTCTACATTTAGAGTAACAAAATACCTTTGGCAGTTAAGTTTGGGCTCAGTTTCCCCTACTTTTCAATAGAAATTAATAATACCTACTTCAAAAAGTTGTTGTGGGGCAGTAGGTGAGGGGAACCTACTGTGGAACACCAGCCACGCTCAGGCGCGAAACATGCCTAGTGAACATCAAGAATTTTTGAGATGCGACTCAGCTCTCTACCATGGGGTCGGGCATATAGCTCAGCGGCACAAATACCTGCCTGGCAAGCGCAAGGTCCTGAGTTCAATTCCCAGTACCAAAAAAAAAAAGGAATAAAAGATCTCTACCATGATTAGCAAAAGGGGCTGGGGCGTGGCTCCCTGGGAGAGTGCTCTTCTAGCATATGTGCGTTTCTGAGTCCCTCTCCAGAACTATAGAGGAAAAGAAACAAGAAAAACTAATTGAATTGGAGTCTTCATGACTTTAACCATTGTTAAGTCCATTGGTACATATGCTAGCATTAGATTTAGAGATGCAATACCTTTATTTAGCAAAGGAACGCGTAGGAGAGAAAGTAAATAAACAAAGCCTCTTTACTTACAGAACACAGAACAGAGGGTGAAGGAAGCACTTAGAATATCATGATGAGCACCCTAAGATGAAACGGGGAGTGAGTACTGTGAAAGCTCTAAGGATGGAGCACAGCGTAGGCTGAAGGACAAAGGCAGAGATGTTTAATTCAGGCTACGATGTCAGTATTTCTATCAGCAGGAAGGCAGGTCATTTTTTAAAGGTAACTATGAGAATATTTCTCAGGAGGTGCCGGGAGGCAGTCCGTGATCAGTTGCCTTCCAGTGTATTAAGATAAACTATGTGCATTTGGAGGAGGGAGCTATCAATCAGGTTTCAAAAGCTTGAGAATTGGAAAAATGTGCAATGAACTATAAATGCATTAAGCGCTTTGTGTTTCAGTATTTCAAAAGTTTGGTCCTAAATTCAGTTACTGTACAATATTTTGATGTTTGGTTATAAAACTTTAACAGAATCAGAAAGATATGCAGATCAAAGAGAAGAAAGGTAATATAACATAATTCATTTAGAAAACTTTAATTCTTAGGGAAAAATCTGCTTGAAAGTTTTTGAGTATAAAATAACACATTTTACAGAAGGAACATTACAGGATTTTCAGCACCAAACATGATAGAAATATTGCCACATGAGCACTTTCATAATCCTTCTGTAACCTAATTTTTAGTCAAAAAGTAGTTACTTTTCTACCTAAACTATCAGCTTTTGGAAGGAATGAATCATATATACTGAATTTTTTAAGTATCTGCAAGTATATTCTGAAATTGGCCAGAAAGGAGCAGTAAATTGAGACCACTTGCTTTGTGTAAAACAGAAAAGCAGGAGTTTTGATACTTTCATCCCTCTCTTCCTTCCCTCTTTCCTGGGTTCTTCGTCTTCATTTCTTCTGCTTGAGTGCATCCCTGCTGCACGAGGGCCTGCATCCCCGCTGGACACCCTGGCCAGGCCGCTGACCTGCTTGGCGCTGGTACCGAGTCAGGCGGCACCGACCTCAGCCTCCTGAGCCCGCGCTCTGGCGCAGTGAGTCCCTGCTCGCTGACTTCTTCCTCTCCCCTTAGCACCTGATCGCTTCCTCGTCTCCATTAAATTGCACGGCACTGTTTTTATTGTCTGTCTCTTTCCGTGGACTCTGGGTTCCGAGAAAGAAGGTGTTTGGTTTGCTCAGGTGAATGACATAACTCATGCACGCAGAATAACACCGAGGAAGTCGAAATAATGTACAATGAACACACCTCTAAATCTGCTCGATCGGGAAGTTAATTGAAAAATTATACAGCACACCTAACTACTAAGACCATTACAGTTTTACTTAACAAAAAACGATTGTAACCTGTAAAAGCTACATTTTTATGTATTTCATAAATGCAAATTTTAGAACTTTAACCCTCCTAACAATGCTCATGAAATGCAGCGTGATTCTTTCCTCAGCTAAAAAGGAAAACGAATGCGCTCAGGCTCCCCCTGCACACGCGCAGCTTCAGCTCCCTGGAGGGCGCCGGCTGCGGTGGGCGGCCCTTGGGTATCCATGCGCTTTTGTCCGAAGTCAACAGCGGTTCAGTTCCGGCAGGATGGTATTACATAAGAGGAAACGCTCAGGAAGAAGTGGCTGCAAAGTATGTGTTGGTTTTGTGCTTATCTTTCACTTCAAAATCAACCTATATTGAATTTTCACTGGTGCTTTGGTATAATTTACATTTGATTATCAATATTAATTTTGCTAGAAAAATTGTTTTCAATTTCTGCCTCAAGAAGCCAATGGGAATAAGACTTACTTGTAGCTAGAGACTAGAAGCAACACTATACTAGCAGAGTTTAATTTTGATCTATCCAGTAATCCTATGACATTTTACTTAAATACTATTTCTGACATTACAGATTATAAATTTCTTTCTAGAATATGAACACTTGTAAATTTTGTGCACACATGAATCCTTTACTTGTCCTGATGAAACTCAGATAATTACATCACTGTCCATCTTATCCATCTTATCAAATTCTATTGAAT